CAGCGTAATGTAGCATTTTCCACAATTTCCCACCATTTTCCAGAAAAATGGGGAATTTGCATTTTTTGAATTTTGGACAATGGTGCCCCTTCGACCTGTGTTTAGCCATACGCTATGTAAATGGAAATGGAATAGAAGAGAATTTTGAAAAGGCCATTCATTGGTTTCAAAAAGCAGCAGAAAATGGTAATGAAGAAGCAATGTTTTGTTTAGCCAAATTCCATGAGTTTGGAAAAGGAACAGAAAAGAATTTAGAAAAATCCTTTTATTTGCATCAAAAAGCAGCAGAAAATGGTAATAAAAAAGCAATGTTTAGTTTAGCCAATCATTATTATAATGGTAAAGGAACAGAAGAGAATTTAGAAAAAGCCTTTTATTGGTTTCAAAAAGCAAAAGGAAATGATTTTACTGGGGCAATGAATAATTTAGTAATATGTTATGAATGTGGAAAAACAGAAAAGAATTTGGAAAAAGCCTTATATTTGCATCAAAAAGCAGCAGAAAATGGTGATAAAGAAGCAATGTTTAGTTTAGCCAATTATTATTATTATAATGGAGAAGAAACAGAAGAGAATTTGGAAAAAGCTATTTATTGGTATCAAAAAGCAACAGAAAATGGTAATAAAAAGGCAATGTTTAATTTAGCCATGTGCTATGTAAATGGAAATGGAACAGAAGTAAATATTGAAAAAGCCTTTCATTGGTTTCAAAAAGCAGCAGAAAATGGTAATGAAGAAGCAATGTATATTTTAGCCAAATTCTATGAATGTGGAGAAGGAACAGAAAAGAATTTTGAAAAAGCTTTTTATTTGCATCAAAATGCAGCAGAAAATGGTAATGAAGAATCAATGTTTTGTTTAGCCGATTATTATTATAATGAAGAAAAAACAGAAAGAATTTAGAAAAAGCCATTTATTGGTATCAAAAAGCAGCAGAAAATTGTAATAAAAATGCAATGCGTAATTTAGCCATATGTTATCATTTTGGAAAAGGAACAGAAAAGAATTTAGAAAAATCTTTTCATTGGTATCAAAAAGCAGCAGAAAATGGTGATGAAAGTGCAATGTTTAATTTAGCCATTCATTATTTTAGTGGAGAAGTAACAGAAAGGAATTTAGAAAAAGCCTTTTATTGGTATCAAAAAGCAGCAGAAAATGGTAGTAAAGAAGCATTGCTTAATTTAGCCATATTTTATCAATATGGAATAGGAACAGAAAAGAATTTAGAAAAATCTTTTTATTGGTATCAAAAAGCAGCAGAAAATGGTGATGAAAGTGCAATATTTAATTTAGGCATGTGCTATGGAAATGGAGTAGGAACAGAAAAGAATTTAGAGAAAGCCTTTCATTGGTATCAAAAAGCAGCAGAAAAAGATCATATTGAAGCAATGTTTAATTTAGCACATAGTTACTATAGTGGAGATGGAACAGAAAAGAATTTAGAGAAGGCTTTTTATTGGAACCAAAAAGCAATGGAAAGTAATAAAATAGGTTTTAAAAATGAAATTGATTTATGCATTGAATGCAAACAGCCAAATATTAATTACCATTGGTGTCAACAATGTAATACTGGACATTTTCAACAAGATTTTTCAAAATGGACTAGTAAAAATGAATTTATTGATAAGTTTATTCAAGAAGCACAACTAAATGCTAAAAACAGCTATGAAATTTTAGAGTAGATACCCTATAATAAATTGTCTAATATTAATTATTATGATAAAGGAGGATTTAGTGAAATTCATAAAGCTATCTGGTTAGATGGTCCTATTTTTAGTTGGAATTTTGACAAACAACAGTGGATTAGATATAATTTTCAAACAGGTTATGAGGTTATTCTTAAAACACTTAAAAATTCATCAAGTTTAAATAGTAAATTTCTGGATGAGGTATAGTATTTATATTTAATAGCAAATTTTATTTTCTTTTGCAAAATTTAATGATTTTATTATTTATATAGTGGAAATATCATTACAATTGTCAGAAAAAATCATTTTCAAAATTTATTCAATTCTTTGGATTTACCCAAGATCCGAATAATTTAAATTATATAATAGTAATGAGTTATGCAAAAAAAGGAAGTCTGAGAAAATGTTTATCTGATATAATTAAGTTTGAATGGCAAGACAAGTTACAATTATTGAAGAAAATTATATTAGGACTTAAAGTAATCCATGAATCAAATTTGACTCATGGTGATTTTCATGATGGTAATATATTAATGTCAGAGAATTACAATGAGATATTTATTATTGATTTAGGATTATGCAAACCTATAAGTTATTTACAAGATTTTGATAATAAAATTAATGAAATCTATGGAGTTTTGCCTTATATGGCACCTGAAATACTGAGAAAAAAACCTTATACACCTGCAAGTGATATTTATAGTTTTTCAATGATAATGTGGGAATTTACATCAGGTATTCCTCCATTTAATCATGAAGCACATGACCGTGATCTTATCTTGGATATTTGTAATAAAGAAAAACGTCCTGAAATTACAAAGAATACTCCAAAATGCTATGAAGATTTGATGAAAAAATGTTGGGATTCAAATCCTTCCAATAGACCAACCATAATAATGCTTGAAAATATTATAACTGAATGGATTAGATGTATTAATAAATATTATGAAATGAACGGGGATCAAAATTATGAAAATTATAATTATTTAGTACCAAATATTGATGATAAATTAAAAAATGATATGTATGAATTTGTAGAGGCAAACAAAACTTTAGTACAAGAACAAGCAAATACTTTTATTGCACAATCTCATCCACAAGCATATTATACAAGTCGTAAACTTACTGAAATTTTAATTCAAGAAGGGTCGCAGGGTTTTGATTGTGTAATTAAAGATTAATAATCTTGTTATTTATTCTTTATTTGTTGGACTATTTATCAATTGTTATATAGAAAAATACATATATTGTGATTTTTATCAATTTACAATAGTATACAAATTTTGAAATAATGTTTATTTTTTTTATTTTCACTTGCAATTTGTTTACTAGAAAGCTTAAGTTTAATATTAAATCTATGCTTCAACAATTTACTATTTGTATTATTGCTTTAGGATACTTTATTATTGTGTATTTATAATTTGTAATAAGTAAAAAAGCTTCAAGTGTATTTTAATATTTTTTTTCTTTTATTACTCTTATTAGGTAATATTATAATCGTTATTTCTAATGAATATAATCATAGCAACTGACATTATCATAAAATTCATAGTTGTATAAGCCATCTGAAGTTTAACATTTTAACAGGTTTTGACAGGTGATTGCATAGCGGCCTTTTGTTTTATCGCAATGCTGATCATTTTTCCGACCATTTGTGATTTTTTTATAAAAATGTGACGAAGTATCAAAAAACAAATTGGGAAATCCAAATTTAACATCATAATCGTACACAATAGCCGTTTAATACAAGGTATTGGTCATAGTACATACTGTACTATTTAATTTAGCTGCGTTACAGAGAATTTAGTCACGATAACAAGATACATCATTTAACTCTTTACGACCTTTTTGAACTTTTTACAAATTTGCAAAATAATCTCGTTATTAGACAAGTGTGTTAAGGCATAGAACAAAACACTTATTATGGCTTATAATTATGCATAATCTTTTCTTTTAGCTTATAATAAACTAAAGAAAGAAGAAAGTTAAAAAAAAAATTGCAGCAAAGGAAATTAATATATCTAAGGTTGGTTTAACACGCTTTTAACAGTTTAGTTTATTATATGCATTAATTTTAAAGTGAGATATCATAAAAAAACTTTTCTTTAGTGTAATATTATATAAAAATTTAAAAACAATAAAAAAAGAATATTTTTAGATCAACTTTTAATAATAAATTATTTTATTTTCTCTTTTAGTAACAGGCACTAGTTATATTACATTAACATTTGAGAGTAATAATTTCTTTGGAATAGAATATAAGGTTCTATAAGAAGAATTTTATTGGTAGGAAATCTTATTTATATGGATCTTAATAATGGTTATATAGTGTTCTTTTTCGATATGTATATATACTAAACAAATAATTTTGTATTATTTAAAAGATAAAATTGTACTCTATTTACAAAATCAACGATCATTCAGATTAATCACTATATGTGGAGATATTAATGATCAGGCTAAAAAATATAAAATTAATGTATTGGACGAAATTACTCTTTAACCAGTAATTCAACTAATGCAATTTTTAATCACTGGATAGGTATCATTCTCCTCTTTCAAATGATTGTAGAGTCATATTCATAGTTTACACATATGTCAAATTATTTAGAATTTTTCTATAAGAATTATATTTGATTTTAATTTTAAATAGGTGGCACATATTAAAATCCCTCCTTTTACTTCAACTAAATTTTAATAAAATTTTAGAATCAGATATATTAAATCATCGTTTTTTTAATAATTTGGAAAGTTTAAGTAATATTTATTATATCCGCTAAGACATTTGCATCAAAAAAATGTATAGGTAACGCTAAATTAAAAGTTATTACATTTAAAAGTTGATCAATAACAAATAGATTTTAATAAAAATAAATGCACTTAAATTACCAATTGGAGTTAATTGATTGACAAAATTTGAGAATATTTTAATATGTAGAATTTTTCAAAAAAGCAAAAACTACGGTACTTGTATCATGTGATAAAAAATTGAAAAAATTCACGTGATAAATTCGGAAAGCCAGTAAGCCACGCTATGTTATCAAAGTCAAGAATTTTGTTTATTATGTTCTGCAAACTTAAAAACAAAGAATGAAAAAAACGAAAAAAATACTTAGTTTTAATTTTAAGTATAAAGAGCTGAATATAAAAATAAAATTATAAATTATAAAGAAAAGTAAAAATTTCATAAATTTTATTAAAATCATATAAGGTTTCAAACCTGCCACCTTTTGACAGTTTCAAATAAAATGTCAAGCATCTAGACTTACAACGTTGTGAAAATCTGAGGCAATTACAGGTTGATAGTGAATTAGTGATAAATAGTGATTACGGATCAAGATTTTTTATGTGATTTTAAATTCTTAATTTATTATTCAATAAAAATTCTATTGATATTCAATAACAATTCGATTAATTAAAACCAAATATTTCGATAAAAATAATCTGAATTTTATATTTTATTAACATAAAACATACTCATTATATAATTATTTAATAAAGAAATAAAATAAGTACGGTATAATGAATAACAATGCTTGATACTCCGGGGTATCTCCATACAAAGTATTCGATATTTTAGTAAATTCTAGAAGGACATTTATTTTTCAAATATATTTTATTAATATTGTTTATATATTTGATGGTTACGTCCCCTCTATCTAATACACATATATATTCTATTAATATTTTATAATATTTGAATAATAACAAATACAAATATTGCTGAAAAATTTAATATCATAGTATTATTTTAAAACTCGTAAAACTCGGCTTAAGATAAGCCAAGCCAGCCTCAAGCCAAGCCAAGCTTAGCCAAGCCCAAAATATATCGAGTTAATAGCTTGTCTTAATAAAGTTAAATGAGCCAAGCCAAGCCAAGGCTTAGCTCGATTTGGCTTGTTACTCGTCAGTGATTGGCAAATGAAATGATTCAAATTGATCCATGATTAGGCAAAATTCTTTAAATGGTCAAATAAGGTCAATTACAAATCGATCGTTGTCACTAATTTACTCAAACAATGAGCGTATTTTTTTAACAAAATTGACTAATGTAGATCAATGATCTACACACATTCATATCGAAAAAGGAAGGTTTATATTATTTAATATTTACGCCAAAAGTTTTATTCATACATTGTGATTAGGTACTAATTTTTTTGCTACACAGATACTTATTACACAAATACGCCATCCTGATATAAATAAGGACGATGAATGAAAAAATTTTTTCCATCATCAAAAAAAAAATGTCGAAGCTTAATGAAGACGTTCTTATCTTAGTATTAGAAGAAGTGAAAAAAGATAAAAAATCACTTTATTCATGTCTTTTTGTTAATAGAGTATGGTGTAAAGCGACACTACCAATTTTATGGAAAAATCCTAATCTATATTGTAAATCAAATAAATTATTTTTTAATACATTACTTTTACATTTATCCGAAGAATCAAAAGATAATTTGAAAAATCATGGAATCGAACCTTTTAAGGAAATTTATAAACGACCTTTATTTCATTACATTTATTTCTGGAAACATTTAAATTTACATTCAATAGATATTACTTTTAATTCTAGGACAATTATGAAAAATATAGGAGATTTTAAATGGAATATTATGCGGAATGAAATATTAAATTTACTTATTAATAGAAATTCAAGTTATACTCATCTTTATATTCACTCAGAATTTGATTATCAATTGTATAATAATCCAGGAGTTAAGGATTGCTTTTTAAGACTTCAACACGTTTCTTGTGGTGATAATACAAAACAACATATTTTAGAAGGATTGGCTAGTATATGTAAATCAATAAAATCATTGAGAATTGATATTGTAATGACCGATAAAAATAGTAATCCCGGACTCATCAAATTAATTGAAGCGCAAAATAATTTAAACGTAGTAAATTTTGACCGATGTAGAAATGATAATAGTAATGAAATATATCGTAAAACTCTTGAAGAATCACTAATTAAAAATGCAGATACTATTCAAAATTTAACAATAAAGTGGAAACCTATTACTAATATGCTTTTACATCTTGTAAATTTGATAAGTTTAGATATAAATCTTAGTTTTGGTAATCCATTAAATCATTCCTTTGATATAAATTTAGAAAATGTAAATTTACCCTTTTTAAAAATTCTAAGAACTCATAGGGTTCCATCTAGAAATTTAGTTAGTTTAGTTGAAAATACAAATGGAAGTCTTATTGAGATTAATGCTCGTAATGCAAATCTTAGTGGAAAGTTTATCCAAGCGATTTGTAATAATTGCCCAAAAATTGAATATCTTAGATTATCAATTAAGGATAATATTTCAGAATTAGGAAAATTATTAATTAGTTGTAAATGCTTAAAAGGATTATATATTTTTACCGATGCACTAGATGAATCCAATTGGGATGAATTAATTGATACATTAATTCAATTTTCTCCGATTAATTTATATAAATTTAAATTTACTTCTATCAAGAATCTTAAATTAGAATCTCTAAAATTCTTTCTTGATAATTGGGAGAAAAGACATTCAATGTTATTACAAATCGTTTTAAAGGAAAGTTTGAGTATGTTTATGGGAAGTCTAGGGCGAGAACAGAAACAGCAACAGCAACAGAAAAATTTATTAGAAGAGTATAAGGGAAAAGGAATAATTAAAAACTATCATTTTTCTGGAGAATTTGAAGATTTTGAATGGATCCAAAAAAAATATCTTTAAATAGTTGTTTGTAATCAACGTTATTTAATTTTTTTTTATTCAATATATAAAATAAATATATTATCATTTATAATTAAAATGTATTTCTTTAATTTTTGGATTTTAAAATGTTAAAAATAATTGTCCGGAGCGAAGCGAAGGACTATATATGTCTACGCACTATGATGATCTATGGAAATAACGTGTAAATTTTCAATCACGTGAGTTTCTCTGTCCAGGAATTCCAAGGCTAATCAGCAGAAAATTACCGGAATTCCAAGGCGTTATCCTGCTAATTAGTAGAATATCGCTACATCTTTATTTATTATACCTCGCTCCGGACTTACAACGGTTCCCGTTTCCTAGTATAAAATATAGTCCTCGCTTTAATGATGCTAATGATGCTACTAACCTGCAAAAACTTTTCCTTTATATATAAAATACAGCCCATCCTTAAGGCATTATTATCCAAAATAGAAATGATCCACATAACTTCTAAAAACCCAAAATTAGATATTGATTGATTGTCAAATGACTATTTATTTGTTACACACGTCACGCCAAAAAGTATAAAGTTAATAAAACAAATTTTTCTTAAGAATTTTTAGAATTTCCATTTAAAAAGAAAATGTCGAAACTTAACAAAGACGTTATTTTCTTAATATTAAAAGAATTACAAAATGACCCAAGTTCTTTTTATTCATGCCTCTTAATTAATAGAATTTGGTGTGAAACGACTGTACCAATTTTATGGAAGAATCCTGCAAAATTATTTAGAAGTTATAAACGAAAATGCAAAGCAAGTAAGAGTTTACTTAATATAATACTTTCACATATATCAGAAGAATCAAGATATAATTTGAAGAATCAAGGAATTGATCTTTTTACAGAAATACAAAAGAAACCTTTATTTAATTATATTAGATATTGGAGATATTTGGATTTAAATTTTTTGGAATACTTATTAAACGTTCTTGGAACAAGTATAAATATTGAAAAATCCAAAATTTTTTTGATAAAAAATGAAATGTTATATTTATTTAATATAAATACAAAATTTATTTCTCTTTCTATTTCAGCACCATTATCTCTTATTTCAGGATCTGAAGATTGCTTTTCAAAACTTGAATATTTTTATTGTAATAATAAAACCAGTAGCAAAATTTTAGAAGGATTGGCTCAAACAAACAAACAAATTAGAAAATTTGAAATTATTATTATGTGCGATGATCGTGAAAATTCTGACAATTCTACTGAAGTCGTTAAATTAATTGAAGCTCAAGGAAACTTAAAAGAAATCAATTTTATCAGAAAAAATTTTTACATGAATGCAAAATCTTATTGTAAAAATCTTGAAGAATCATTGATTAAACATGCAGATACCGTCCAATATCTGAGAATAGATTGGGAACCTATTACGAAATTTCTTTCATATCTTGTAAATTTAGTTAGTCTAGATCTAACATATATATGTTATGAACGTGATCATTATGATAATTTAAAAACCATATCTTTACCTCTTTTAAAATTTCTAAAAGCTAAACATATCCCATCCAATATTTTGTCAAGTTTAATTGAAAGTACAAAAGGGTATCTCGTTGAAATTAGTATTCTTTATCATTATATTTTTGATAAAGGAAGGCTTATCCGGGCAATTTATCAAAATTGTTTAAATCTCAAAATTCTTAAATTATCAATGACAAATGAGAATATTTCAGATTTTGAATATTTATTAATTAATTGTCAATATTTAAATAGTTTAGAAGTTATAGGTACAAATTATTTTGATTGGGATGAATTATTCGAAATATTAACAAAATCAACACCAATTGGTTTGTTTAAGTTTACTTTTACTTCTCCTATTTCCGATTTGAAGCGTAAAATGAATTCTATAAAATTGTTTCTCGATAATTGGAAGGACAGACATTCAATGTCATTATATATTGTTTCATTGGAGGAAGCATACATGAAAATGCTAAAGCAACAACGGCGAAAATTTCAACAACAAGACAAACAACAGCAGCAAATATTAGAAAATTTATTACAGCAATATGTAGCAATAGGTATAGTTGAAAAATTTTCCATTCAAATAAGTTATACAAAATTCTGATACGTGTATTTTTAAATTTAGTCAAAAATTTTTTTTTTTTTATTTCTATTTTATGTAAATATATGTATTTATTTAAATAAAGTTAGAACATGACATTTATTTTATACTATAACAATTTATTCATAATATGAGGTGATAAATTCCCTTGGCAATGAATTAAAATTTAAAATTAATTTATACGAACTGAGTACACCAATAGAAAATATCTTTCATCCAACATAGAAGTATCAGGTCATGACAATATTCACAGTATTACAAACATTTTATTACTTAGGATCAATGACTTTGACTAATATTCCCATGGTGTTTACCTTACCAAGTAGAGAATTCGGTGCATTTACTTGGACTTATCCTTTTAGCTCTTGTAATTTTTTAAAATTACATCATATCTTTGTAGAATAAAAGCAAGTTTTTTAAATTTTTTAAATTTTCTCAAAAAAAAAAAAAAAAAAAAAAAAAAAAGTCAAACTTAACGATGACATTATTTTCTTAATATTAAAAGAATTACAAAATGACCCCAGTTCTTTATATTCATTGCCTCTTAATTAACAGAACTTGGTGTGAAATGACTTACCAATTTTATGGAAGGATCCTGCCAGAGTACTTGAAAAATCGGTTAAAAATATATTTAATGTAAAAATATATTTAATGTAACACTTTCACGTCTAAAGAATCAAGAGATGATTTGAAGGATCAAGGAATAAGACCTTTTTGAAGAATTCTTTTTTTTTCTCATATCAATGACCTTATTAAATTATATTAGATATTGGAGACATTTGAATTTACTTTTCTTAAATGACGTAATTTCAACATACACCGAAGAAGAATCTAAAAAATATATTTTAGAAAAGAAACAATGAAATTATTTATTAATAATTATAAAAAATTTGTTTCTCTTTTTATTTTAGGATCAAAATCACCTCTTATTTCAGGATCTGAAGATTGCTTTTCAGAAATTGAATACTTTTGTTGTTATAGTGATAAAGCAAACAAATTAGAAAATTTGAACTTTTTATTAACTATAAAAATATTGGCAGTTCAACTGAAATCATTAAATTAATTAAAGTTAACCGGTTAACCAAACCTTTAACCGGTTAATTAACCGGTTAAAACTCAATCCTAGTCAGCATTAAAATTCGGCCAGGATTAGCATCAAATATATTTTTAATCCCGGCCAAGATTAGGCCAGAGTCTGGTGGCTAAACTTTTATCCGAAGTCCCGTGATTTATAATTTTGGCCGGCACTGTAAATTTGGCCAGAATTACAAATATTTTCAGCATTTTAACCGGTTAATTTAACCGGTTAAAAATTGTTTTTTAACCGGTTAACAAATGTTTTAACCGGTTAATAATTAACCGGTTAAGCTTAACCAGTTCCAACCTCTAGTCATTTCATAAAAAACTTGAAGAATCATTAATTAGCATGCGGATACCATTCAATATTTGAGTACCTATTACAAAGTTTTTTTCACATCTTGTAAATTTAGTTAGTATTGATTTAAGATTATATCATGTGAGTGATAATAATATACATCATGGTTAATTTAGAAAATGCAGAAATGTAACTTTACCTCTTTTGAATTTCTAAAAGTTAAACATATCCTATCTAATATTTTGCCAAGTTTACAAAAGGGTACTACATTGAAATCAGTATTATTAATCATTATATTTTTGATGAAGGAAGGCTTATCCGGGTAATTTATCAAAATTGTCCAAATCTGATAAATGAGAATATTTCAAAATTTGAAAATTTATTAATTAATTTTAAATAGTTTAGAAGTTGCCAGTAAACACGGATTTAATTGATTTAATTGGGATGGATTTTTCAAAATATTGACAAAATCTTCGCCAATTAGCTTATTTGAGTTTAAATTTATTAGTTTTATCTTTGAAATCTTTAAAATTATTTCTTGATAATTGGAATGAAAGTAATCCAATGATATTACAGATCTCTTTAAATAGAAATAACGATAAAATGCTGGAAGATTTAATGCAAAACTATAAAACAAAAGGGATAATTAAAATATATGACTTTTTTTAATATCAAATTAAACTTTTTTTTTTAAATTATATATTATGCAATAAAAAAATTATCATATACTAATTTTCATTACCTAGTTGTGTTATCCTAAATAAAATCTTAACAAAAGTCGCGACTTCTTAATTAAAAGAATGAAGAAATTTGTCATCATTTAAACAGAACTTATTTTATAGTATTATCCCATATTACTTAATAGTACTTATCCATTAATTAAAAAACTCAATAAATTTGCGCCAACTAAAATATATGTTAATGTTGTAAGTAGGAATTTCTATATTTTTTTTAAAAAAAGTATTTTAAATTATTGAAGCATCCTAACTTAAAAGGCTGAATTTCTGAATTCCATTATATCAATCAAATTTTATATTCATTATAATCTGTTTAGTGCCAATCACGTCTTATCACAATTTGCAAAAAAGGCAACTAATTAAAAATCATTTGGCTAATTAATTTTTAATTTTTTTGAAAAAATTTGTAGCATAGATGAAGAAAGCTAAAAAATATATTTTGAAGTTATCATATATTTATTATAAAGAATTTTCTAACTATCACCGGGAGGTGATGATCACCGGTGACTGAAATTATGACGATCGACCAGCATTAAAAAATATAGTGCCGGTAAAATTAATAATTCTGGCCAACGGTGATGATCACTCCCGGTGATTTGAAGTAAAAAAAAATTATTAAAAATTTGTAGTGGAAATTTGTTATTTTATAATAATTGCTTCGCTTCCTTTTCTCTTTCCTATCATCTTTTTTGTACATTACATTTCGTGACCGGTTTTCGTCAGAATTTCCTGGTATTTACAAATTCTCACATTTATTGCAAACTAATTAACTAAAGTGTCATGAGTACAACAAAATCCTACAATTAATTTTACCGAAATTTTAAGTATTTCTTGTCATGATTCCAATCCTAACCGCAATCTCATACCGTAATTTTTCCTAGTGTTTGAAAAAATGACGCCATATTTTTTGGCGATTAAGTGAATAAAAAACAATAATAATTTTTTTTAAAAAAATTTTCTCATCAAAAAAATGTCGAAAAGTGCAAACAATTCTTTCTGAGCTAGTATAATTTTTTCTTGTTGATGCAATGATTTATTTGAATAAAATGTGGGAATACGAATCAAATAAATGACCAGATATTCGCTAACGAAGTAAATTCAGAACTTAGTAGTATTGATTCTAAATACGATAATAATATATATATAGTTTTTATTTTAAAGAAAAAAGACAAGCTAAGTTTGATTTGTCAAATTGCAATAAAGAATATGATATAAATACGATTTTAGATTTTTAGTTTGTTCATATATTTACTTTGGGTTTGTTATAATTGGTTTGTCCCATTTAAGAACATCATCTGATATCAACTGACCTGTTCGGTACTGTTGAAATGGTACAAACATTTATTTCTATATAGAGTATGTAAAATATTGCTCATATATTTTAAGTTTCAAAATTAATAATTATGTGCTACAAATGATTTTTATTATAAGGTTCATAATAATCTCTGTAAGAAATAAAATAAACAACGCAATTTTGGTTAAAATTTTTCAGGATTATTATGATACGAAGAAGGATATTATCAAAAATTGCGTATCGTAAAGTTATTTGTTTGGGAAAAATTCTGACAAATGATCATTTTTTTAGTTTTCATTCCAAAAAAACTCCGATATGTGGTCTATTGACAAATAATGAGACCTGGTTGTGTTAATAATAAAAAATAATGGATAATAGTGATATTAGTTGAGTCATTTTCTAAACATGGTTTGATGTTTCACATACTAATAAGTAGTAAACTCATATCAGTCTGACGATAAATATAAATATATATATCTTATGTTAAAATTATTCATATTTACTATAATTGACTAATAATAGGCTTTTTCGATTCAGGATTATTCATGTTAATGTGTTATCATATGACTCATATATTCTTACAAAGGTTATTAAAAGATGACATAATAAAAAAAATTAATTATGTTGAAACATTCCAGAATAAATATGTAAAGTCATATCAGTCTGACAAATTATGCTAATAATAGAAATAACCAAATGTGGCTAATTAAATAGTAAAGTCATATCAAGTCATACTGCCTACAATATTTTTTTTTGTTATTTAAGATGCCCTCCCCATGATATTTATTTTTTTTTTAATTAAAACAATATTATCTTAATCAAAACAATATTATCTTAATCAATATGAGCACATCCAAAAACTATCCTGGTCAAAATGGTAAGTCCTGTAAATAGTATTTTGGCATAGTATTTTGGCTTGTAATATTTATTAACCAACCTATCAACCTTTTAGTTCTTATTTCTTACCTAAAGGAGCGAGGCAATAAATCATCATACCATGGTTTTTTGGATTTACATCATGATATCATTGTTACCTCAACATTCTCAGAAAACTGGAAGGATCTTGATAATTCTTGGGCTACTCATTTCATGGAAGAAGCAGAAAAGTTGAATTTGGAGGCATTGAAAGAAAAGGTGTGTTTTTTTTTTATTTTGCAAATTAGGGTAACTCCTAGGCGAGTCGAGGAATGGATAACGTGAGTTGGAATTTCCTGGTTTGACTTAGGAGAATTACTGGGTTGTTCGCTTTGGTAACCAATCCATTGCTCTCAATTCAGGCATCCTAACTTTGTCATTAGTAAAGTCTGCTAATTCTGGAGGAGGAATTGGCTATGTACCTTCTTTACTATTAAATAAAATTTAGCACACTATTAACAATTTCTTCTTTCTTGTAATAGATAAATATAGAACGTTTACAACGTAAGAGAAATTTACAAATATTCTGGCAAGAAGTTATCAAAGAATATTATGAAAAAGAAAATCTAGTGCCATCTATTACGTCTAAGGTTACTTCTACTAAAGATTTTTCTGAAACATCTCAACAAAAAAATAGTGAACTTATTAACTTCTGTTATGATATTCTTCATGAACTTGAAAATAAATCTTGTGCTTATCCATTTAAGTATATTAATAAGGCAGATAAAGTTATAAAACATCCAATAGACTTGTTTACTATAAATTTAAAGTTAAAGAATAATCAATATAAAAGTTTAAAAGAATTTGAAAAAGATGTTCGTCTAATATTTCGCAATTGTTATACATATAATAATGTTGAAAGTGAGATTTATCATTCAGGTGAAGTACTAGAATCTGTTTTTAATAAAAAATGGGCTAAAAGAATTATTCAAGTTAATAAACAAAAGGGGTTAGATTTGAAAAGAGCAAGAGATGATGCTGATGATACAGATGAAAATTCATCTACTGGTAAATCATAATATATATTTATATTATCTTTTTTGTATTTATATTTTTAAATTATACTTAATAAATATGTATATCAAATTATATTTAATTATTAGAATACTGGAGAAAACAAAGCCGAATTTTGGAACAAAATAAGAATAATTTAGTATATAGGCAGGCTGTTGATGATGCATTTCTCATTGCTTCAGCTTATGAAAGCCTTATTGCAGGCAATGTTGTACCTTTCATTAAAATTCTAAAAACCTTTTTATTGACAAGGTCACAAATGTCTTTATCTTCAGCAGATGAGCCTGTACTTCAGGTAATTGTGGAAAATTTACTGCCACCAAAATATTGTGTTCCAGAACTTGCATTGGTAATAAATGGTAAAAAGTCAAAAGGAACAGGTCGTTTTGGTTTTTCAGATATTTTTGTCTTGAGTAAAACAGGAAATAATAATGTTAGCTTAGAATTGAAATATATTTCATTAATTGGTTTGATAGGAAATCAGAGAGATAATTTTAATGCAAATGATCTGGAAAATCTTGACAAAATTCTTGAAAAGGAAGATGAAGAATCTTTATTAAATAGAACATATACATTTTGGTTAAAAGAAAATAAAAAAACAAATAAAATAACTGTAGGTGAAGTGTTAAATAATGGAATAAGCCTATTAAAACAGTATATGAATACAATTTCAAAAGGAAAAAATGTTAATTATTCCAGTTCAGGGGTATTTGATAAACATGTTAAAATAACTGCATCAAATAATCCTAATAAACTAAAAGGATTTGTCATATTAGTGGTTGGTTTTCGTCATATTTTATGGAGACCTGTAGAAGAAGTAATAACTAATTATACATATAATAAGGTTTAATAACAGCTAGCAATTTAATGATAGTTCTAGAATTAGTAAATTCATAAATTATATATTTATTTTTACTAAATATTGCTAATTAGTAATTTAATAATAGTTCTAGACATCATAAATTATATAACTAGGAATTGTTTGTGAATTTAAAATTCATCATCATTGATAACAATTATAAAGTAAATATCAACATTTATTATTATTATAATAATCATATATTAGCCAAAGCAATCATATAATAAGGATTGGTGCAAATATATTGTATCCTTATTTCCTAAATCCTCATATTGATAAAATTAAATAAAAAGAATCATCATTAATACAAAATATTAACATAATAAATAAATAATTATAATAATAATAATCATGTATCAACTAATCAACTATATATTTGTCAATAAAATAACTTATAATGAGTCATAATTATTAATATTTAAAATAAGATGAATAATTACAAACCCTGATTTCTAATTTTCCATTTATTCTTTACAATTATTAAGAATATCGACATTTAGATAACAATGTTATTAATACAGTCATTATTTAATAATTTATAATAAAGTAACCAAAACATAAAGATCTTTAATTGACTTATTGAGAAGCATTCATGGCTGGACGTTAAGATTTCGGTAAAAAAAAAAAAAAAAAAAAGAATGCCTCTTAGGGACCGTGATAGAACGAGTCTACTACAAAGATTACTCAAAATTAAAATTTGACGTCATCCGTACACCTCAACAAGTCGAACGATGGAACCGCCTTACGCGAAGTGTCCTAAATCACCCAAACACCTAGTGCTTCATTTCTACATAAACTCCTTTTTAGATTAAATAAACTTCCATTAAAATAAGATTTTTGATAATTATTACTTTAAACAATTTTAACGCACATCAATTTAAATGAATGTACTTTTATATTAATTCATTTAATGAATAAGCACGAGTATTTTGAATCAGATTTTGTAGCAATTCCGTCGAGTAGCCAAATTAAGTAATTTATTAACACCCAGATAATCATTTGTCATAAATTTACAACAATTGTGGATATTTTTTATGTTGATCATTTGTTGATCATTGTCAAAAATTTTAACTCCGGCAAGAAATTTTTTGAATTTCAAGAAATTCTCTGTTGCCAATCATTCCCTAATTTACTATTGATCTAGCCATTTTGGTAAAAAAAGGTTCATTTAATCTTTAAGTACTTAGTACTTAGTACT